CCAGATAGCCCTTATCAACATGTTGCCATCTCTGAATTTGAAGGCTGTTAAAACGAAAACGATTCATGTTGCCTTGCTGAAGAGAAATAGAGAAATTCTGAAAGGTAGATCCAAATTGCTTCAGAATGCCTTCTAAAAAAAAAAAAAAATCAAATGCAAATAACTAGCTCTGTTTCACTGTTTACTTTAGAAAACTCCAATATTGAACTCCAGGTTTAAAATCACCAATTTAAGCAAATTAATGCAAAATCTAGCCCCTGTGTGGAAACCATGGCTAGGAGACTGTATGTTCAAGAGGCAGGCCAGGATCAAAAGCTTTTTATCTTTACTGTTAACTCATTTTAATCCTCTGGCAAAAAAAAGACATCCTGGCTGTGTAGTGGCCTGTGTAAAATGAAATAATGAAATCAGCACAGCTCCAGCTAGCACCATGATGTTTGACATTTCAAACACCACAACGCTTCAGATAAACTGGCAAATTCTTCCACAGAGAGAAAGGACTTCAATGGCCGCAGAGGAAGAATAAAATCTCACCTCAAAGGACAATCCTTCCCTTTTAGGTGCAGGTGGAGATTAAAAGCCTGACATGGGGATTCTGTCCTACAGCACTTGCAGATGCACCAATTCTGTGGGTGCTTCGCAGATCTCCCTTGCTAAGATCAGTCCATTTCGTGCCTTTCATAAACACTGTGTTCAGCATTAATACATTTCCTTTAAAGAGTTGCAAATAAACATGTTCTAGGCAGGATTCAGGAAGCTCTTTCCTCTCATACTTTCCTTTTTTTTTTTTTTCTAAGAGATTGCAAAACAAAAAAGAAAGTGGAGCAAAGTAACCTACAATAGTCTTTAAAAACTAGCTGACTATCTGGAGGGAAAACTCTAAGGAACAAGTTGCATCATCTAGAATTGTCTGAGGGGCTGAAAGAAAATAATTCTCGTTTATTTGTATCTTCTCTCACAGAATATTATGAAATACACACTGGCTGGGCCTCTTAGGTCCCACACACTGTACATCCATCTGTTCTAGTGCCTTTTAAAGCCAGTCCTGCCTGACACATCCCTTGGTCTGGCACCCAGATCCCAGACTGCACAGCAGTGGTATTTCTGTTTTCCATGTACCAGGTGAAGTTGGCTCAGCTTGATTTGCAATCTTGTGAGGTCCAAAAGAGGCTCTGGTTATACACAGCAGCAAGGGTAAGTATGGTTTTTAGAAGGGCCCTGCACTCAATGAGGTCCTGTTAGAAAGACTGTTGCCCTTTTGGGGCATGCCCTAACAGAATAACATCAGGCTCGTGTCCACCCTGTGACAGGACAACACCCTTGGAAACACACACTAATTTGTGACATTGCATTTGCTGGAGAAGGAAACTGAGATGCCCCTCTGGCACAGAGACAGAAAGCTTAACCACACTGTGGCATGGAAGAGCTTAAAGTCTCTGCTGGAGATTCTCAAGACTCAGCCCATCGTCTCAGCCCCTGAGGGAACAGGTTTGGCCACATTGGTGGCACAGTGTGCTGGTTCAGCTTGTCACCACTGCAGCTGCAGGTAAGGGTCTCTTACAGTGCCCCAGTGTCTTTCAAAACCACGGTCTCTAATGAAACCCAGCACCAGGCAGCCACTCAAAATGCTGCCCTGTCTCCCACATTGACATCCATTGATGTCTTTGCTGCTGCAGCCCCGAGCCAGTGGAAGTCAGTCAAGCCCATCCATACAGGCAGTTATTAAAAGATAACCCAAGCTGTACTAAAGGGCGGTAATATCTTGGCAGATGGTAATGCAAGAAGCCACTTGAACTTCTGTACCTTTCCCTCCGTCATCTGGCAGTTACATCGCCAGAAGGAAGTGCAACTACCGAGGCAGACCATGCTCCATCAGCCACGAAATGGGACAGAAACATCCCTGAGAAAAACCAAGGATAAAATATCATTCGAATAGAGGGATGGGACTATCATTTTGACGGTGTCTTACTACAGTTTGCACAAGTAAATAGAGACTGGGTGAAGAGAATTAAAAGCCGGACTGACAGATTTCCCCAAGAACACACAATGAACCAGCACTACGAGCATCAGGAAAAGACACACCTACAGAGGAGAGAACAGAAACTGAATTTTCCCCGAGTGTTGAAGGGATAAGGACAGCAGATAAGGACAGGTAAAGTACATGCACGTTATACAGAGGACACATTTTTCCTGCCAAAAGAGTATTTTACCCATCTCTCCTGGGAAGCACTGACTGCAACACAATGGAAATTTAAAAAAGGGATGAATACAAACATCTTTCCTAATGCACAGTGCATGATGAAAGTCAAATCCTGTTAAGCCCTGACTGTTGAAGTAATCCTTACTCATGCAAAAAATCCCAATTAATTCATCAGGGGAAAATGCTGTATTAGCCTGAAAATCTGAAAACCAGCTGAATGTAAATGCCTTCCTCACATGAGGCCAATGTTATCCAACCGACTGGATCCTTCAGGACAGTCCATTTACTTCATGAAGAACATGTTAAACTTAAAGACACCAAGACTCTTTAGCAAGAAACTGAAGCATCAGGGCACAGCAGCTGAGCTAAATTGGTGTTTACTGAAATAAAGCCCTCTCATTCCTTCCCTGCTTGGAATAAACAAAAACCAAACCCACAACATAAACTGCAAAATTCGCTCCCAAGGCTTTCTTCAAGGGCAAGCGGTTCCTTGTATATAGGTCACCATTTGACTTCTTCAGAGGGAAAAAAACCCCAACCATACGGGTAGCAGCGGCTGTATTTCAGTGTAAGGAATGGATTTCACTTCGTGCTGGAAATGTTTGCACAGTGTCCTCAAAAAAAAAAAAAAAAAAAAAGGAACGTGGAAAACAAGAAAACATGCTGCAATGAGCCATGTGAGACTGTGCACAATCAAATTACAGGAGGTAGCATTTTCCAGCAGTTTGAATCACAAGACATTGCTTCTATTTTGGGATGTACCTGGCTTACCGTTTGACCTTGGGTAATAAATGACATGCACTCTCTCTGGGCATCCCTGCCTTCATTTGTGAAAAGGTGCACGGTCTGATCTGGCAATGTACTAATTAAAATAATTCTGTATTAGGATGGGAACATTTATTCAAAGGACACAAATTTTGCTCAAGCACGAGTACACAGAGGCTAGAAATCACTGTAGTTCTCCTCATTAAGGAGCAAAATTAAAAGTTTTAGTTTTTGTTAAAATTAAAAAATTAGGTTGATTTTATTAATAATTTATTCCTTGCACTATACATTTAAAATTAAAAGGTATTGACAAAACAAATAATACTATAGGAGGGCATTAGCTTACTGACAAAAACATCAGCAAGGAGAGACACAGAACATATGTTTTATTGGAAAAATAATTCCCCCTGATTGCAGTTAACCGATATGCTAAATACATTTCACAATAAATGCATACCTTTGCCTGTCTGTGGCGATGTTTAACTCTTTACAGCTGTGTTAAGCATAATTTTTCACCCAGTAAGCACACAGAGAAGAGAGTTTTCCCCTTCCTCACGCTGCCTGTAAGAGGTAATTGCACCTACTCTCCAAACTGTTCAGCAATTGTTCTCAAGGATGTAAGACAAACGGATAAAGGAATTAAGTGAAGCAGTAGAGTGCAGTGTGCCACCTCATTCAGCTAGTATGTCACCATACCATCATGAGCACTGATATGGGCACTAGACACACTCCTCCAGTTCAAACTGAACTAACAGGGGTGGCTTATATCGCAATGAGAAACCATCCCCTCAGGCTGGCACTGCTTCCATATACGATTGTGATGTGTCTTCAAAACTTTCCTCTTATAGAAAACACTGTTAGACCGAAAAGTTTGGTGATGCTATGGTTACAAATAACATAACCACATTTACGGTTGTGATTGTCAGACAATGCCATACAAAGAAACAGCACACCTGTTTATGTATGCTACTTCAAATGCCTAGTGCTGTAAAAATTCTTGTTCAAGGTAATAAAAGCATTTAACTGACTTAACATTCTTCATGTCTTCTCTGGATGCCTTTGAGCCTCCTGAGACCTCCAGTAAGTGAATTTCCTCAGACTCCAATTGCAGTGACTGGTATTGGATGGGGCAGGGCCACTTGTTTTTACATCATTTATTTACTTGTAAATAAATGTTGCCTCCTCTCCTGGGAGGAAAGAAAGCCAGAAGCATATGAACTTGCAAATCAGTGATTAACAGAGGAAACACAGATTGGACCCGACAAGAGGACAGGAAAAAAAAAAATCTACCAACTGACTGCTCAGATACCACACTGACCTCCTAGTAACAAACACCACAGCAAACAGAATCAGTTGCAATAATTACTGTGCCCTAGTAAGTGGAAGCCCTGAATTGTCAGCACTGACAATGACAATATCCTGGGGTAAAGTCCGGACTACTGAAACCAACAGCATGTTGAACCATAACCACATCTTGCACTTCCAGCTAAAAGAACGGCTCTCATTCATGAAAAGCACCAAAATATAAGACAGATTTCCTGAAGTCTATATGGTGGGGTTAGCAAAACCAAGCGCCTCTGGAAATCTGGTTCCTTGCTTGCAAATTACAGCACAGCACAGCTTAGTACTGTATACCCAACACTCCTCCTTTTCTCACCCGCTTCTTCTTCCGGAAATACTCTTGAAAGCCCAGGGTGGCTCCTGCCAAGTAATTCACCACCTGGCAACCAACAGCTGATGCTCTTGGCGTGCCCCGGGATACAGCGCTCCGCTCCAGAGCCCGGCAGCGCGACCCCATCCCGCTCGTCCCGTGCACTCCGCTCCCTCCAGCCAAAGACACCTAATTTCGGCAAGGAGCAGCTGCTAGAGGAAGCCCTCTCCTCCCGGGGGAGCGGCCCCTCAAAGTACAAGCTGACAAAGACGCCCTTTCCCCCCC